AAGGTCTGTGTGTTCAGGCAGACCCCTAGTTTCTACTTAAACCCTTCAGGTTCCAGTCACCTGAGCTGCGAGGGACCTGATGGAGGGGGGATGCTGAAGAACAATCGCCATGAGCTTGTGACCTGTATGTTAGTGACACCCGAACAAAGTTGAAGCCAGCCCAAAGCAGCACAGCTATCTTGTCATTTCTTTGGAAGCCCAGTTGGCATTGTTTGCTTTATTATGGAATAATTTTGTGATCCGACCGCTTTTCCACAAAAGGGAGGTGGAGTATCTAGGTCCTCCTCAAGCTGGCAGCTGCCTCTTAGGGATCTCTTGCCTGATGAACTTCAGGCTTTTCCGGCAGCGCTCACCGTCTGCCGCTTTACTTGAAACTGGGTCATTGGTTCTTACACCCTTTCACAGGGTTAAAAGGGAAGCAAACAAAAGTGAGAGTGAGGATCTCCCATTGTGTGTCTAAGAAGTCAAATTTAGACCCCTCTTTTGAAGCATGTAGTCTTTGTGGCTCTCTCTTAAGAGCCCTTACTTTGCATGCAAAGTGTAACTTAAAATTAAGCCAGATCTTTTCCCTTCATCTCAATCTAGAGCTATACAGTCACATGAAGTCACCTTGAATTCCAACAGATAGGTCTTACTAGAAAGCTTCTGGTTTCAAGCTGTGTCTCAAAATGGCTTTGTATGATTTCTGGCTTTTCCCTTCTTCATAAAGAAAGCAGCACTGAACAAATACGTGTCAGTACTCAATAAAAAAGCTTAAACAGGTAGTGGAGTTTTTTTTTTTTTCTGATTTGGAATGGAAAAGGTAGATGAAATGGGAGAATAGTGTAACTGTCAGTAACATGCAGCCCTTCTCCCTTTGTTCCTTTCCATTTGCATTAAAAGAAAGATTAGTCTTCATATCTTCAGCTGAAGGCATTTTGTCCCTGTATTTATAAGCCCCAGATGAAAATGGGCATTACTTGCAGGGGCCAAACACAAGCCCATGGGTGCCGGGGCATTGATGTGGTTGCAGATCTGGTGAATCCCTCACCGGGCTGCTCAGCTGCTTTCAGCATCAAAAGCTGCTTTAACCCTGAACCTTCTTAACCTGTGGGGCTTCTTCAAAGAACCTGCATCAATCTTGTAGGATGAGTATAATTCTTACAGTATCACTGTGTCAGGTGTGAAGTCCCTGCACACCTATTTGTGGTGCAGCTCCCAGTGCTGATAGTTGATCTGAACGTCAGTATGTCATGTCCAGCTTCAGTAGTGCCTAGTCTGCAGCGACCTGCAGAACTAGTGATAAGCCAAAATGGTCGGATATACTTTTCTCTACCCAAAACATGAACACCAGCATAGGTTTTGGAGGAGACTGTTCATCAAACCAGTTGAACTGGAATTGAAACACTTGCATGCTGATGCAAAGATCCAATTTAACATATTTTGGCCTTTACTCTTTTGGCAAGGTAGGGGAAAAAACAAAAAGTGGCCAGAAAGAGTGCTTCCACATTCAACCTGGACAGCGTCAGACCTTTCAAAGTTTTACTTACAGTCCTTTAGTGTTAAGCTCATTTTTCCTTGTCTGTTGTTTCTTGACATATGTAAACAAAGAGAAATTGAAGATAAATATTTGGGAACGAAACAGGGCTTGCAGATACAAAAATCCTGTTAGTACAGCAAGAATTGAAGAGGTATTTTTACTGGTGAAAGAGTCCTTGATTTTTGTCAATTCTCAAGCTTCAGAAAACATGTCAGTTGGGAACAGAGATGAATGTCAGGCTAAAACACTACCAAGTTCATCGTGCAGGCTAGTTTTATAATTGGATATTGAAGCAAAGTACAGAAGGATCTGTGGTTCTTGGCAGGCTAGCAGGTGTGGAGCAGCACCAGCCCCTGCTCTGAGGACTTTATACAGGGAACAAGGCAGAAGTCTTTAAATGTGATATTATGTGTGTGAAGATGTGTAGACAGATACTGAAAGAATTTATTTGAATTTAAGCTAAAACAAAGGTTCAATAACAGACTTTTAGTATGCAAAATAAGTGATGGATTCTTCACAGAACAAAGTTTTCCTTGATATAAGCACCCAGTAAGGCTCATAACGAATTGTACCCAAGTAACATCTGGCGTAAATGTGTTTTAATATATTTGATGCCTCCCTGACTTCCCTTTTGTTGCTATAAGATGTGAAATAGGAGTAGGAAGACCATTCTCTCCCTCCTCTCCCCCCCCTAATAAATAAGTACCTATCAAATAGCTCATTTGGGAGCATAGCAAAGCCCACTGCAATTTTGTGCTGGAGTCTTGATTCCAGCTGGATTAAAAATGGATTTAATATATATACATACCTGTGGTACTGACATCTCTTTTGACAGTGTCTTTGGTATGTATGCCAGGAGTGTGATCAATTATTTATAACAGGAGTCAGTCTAAAAAGGTAGGTAGACAAAAGGAAATAAAAGAAGGATGAAAGGTGGGACTTTCAGACTAAATTGCATCTGGTTATAAATGACATTCATGGGAGAGTACTTTAGGATTTTACTGGCATTTGCATGACAGGATAAGTGCAAGAAAATGACACCTGCAAAATATCTTTTAATTAAGACTGTGGCACCACTGTTTATATAAATGCCAGCTTAGTAAACAAGAAATTGGGCTCACAGGAGAAACTGGCCCTGTAAAAACTGACCCTCTAAAACTGAACTGTATGTTCTGTATAAATGCAGAATACTGTATGTGATTTCTGACTAAGTATGGGATCTTTAAATCTTGAAGAAGTGGATTGTTCCTAGAGATCTATGCTGAATTCTGAATTGAATGCCGATCTCAGACTTTATTTCCATTTTAGTAATCCTGTAGCTGAGGTAAAGACAGGTTTGTGTTTTCTTGTTTTCATAATCCTAAATCATGATCTTTCTTTATAGCAAAGGATGAAAGTATGTGTGGCATATCCTTAAATTATGTTTGCAGAGCTGGAGCTTTAGGATGATCACTGTCAAGTGTGAAGGCAGTTTTTCACTAGTTAGAATTCTGTTAAATACCTGGACTTGTCTTGATGGTTTCTCTGTAACTCCTGCATACTTTGGTACTAAGCATGTTAGAATAGTAATATTTAAAATCAATTTTAGAAAAGCCCCAAAATGTTCCAATATATTTGCAGAAATTTTGCATTGTTAATGCAAACTAATAAATTCTAAAGGCAATAATTTATTCTTTCAACTAGGTATGTTATTAAAATGAAAGGGTTTTCAGGGTTTGATACCAATATTGTAATTCTCTTTTTAATAGAAATAATTGGAATCAAGCTGGTGGAACAGAAGGTGGCGTCTCAGCAGTTGCTGTAGAACTACTTGCTAAGTGCAGAGTTGTTGGGGTGGGGGACAATAATGTGATCCACTAGCTCAGATTAGCCAGAAGCTTGAAAGCTCTTTTACTCAAAGAGCTAGTAATGTTTGAGGAAGGAGAAACCTGGGGCAAAACACTATCGGTGTGAAGGGGTAGGTAGCAATTTATTGTTAGGGATTTATTGGTTAATTAAGTGTGGTCTTGGTAAGAAGCGCTGCTCAGGGCTTCCTGATGCTGTGTTCAGGATTCAGACAGGCAGAAGTAGCTGATTTAAATGGGAGTGAGGCTTTGTTTGAAGAAGTGGCACATTTTGATGCAAATGATGGCCACCTCTGTCCCTTACCTGGTTTTAGGAGTGAATGAGCAGGGTAAATGAATAGATTCGGTATCTTGGTAAAAAATCTATCTCAGTCTCTGAATACCCTTTTTTTTTTTTTTTTTCTCTCCCCACATAGAAATCCAATTGAGGATACAAATGGGAAAAAGGGCTGTTTGACCTTGATTCTGTTGAGTGCAAGGACATAGCCCCTGACCACTGAGGTAGTTACTGTGCATGTCCTTCCTGGAGCTGAATGTCTGGAAGAATAAGCATGGAGAAGTTGTTAATCACTGCTCTTGTCTCTCCTATGGCCAGATTCATTTGTGTAGTGCAAGCTTGCAGGTGAAAGCTATCTCTCAGATGTGTACTCATGTTAAGTTTTGCCTTTAAATCAGTTGGTTTATTTCCAGAGAGCCATGGGAATTGTTTTTGGCACACAGGACGCCCTTCTGCGCCCAGCTTCGATCGTAGACAGTGCCCAGTGCCAAACGCTTGGGTGGAGGGACAACCTGAGCGCTGGGGAGGACGTAGCGGCTCCTTGTAATCCCTGCGGTGCCCAGGTTCCTTGCCCCAGGAGTGCGGCCGGCTGCCCTTGGCCTCTCTCAGCCCTCACGGTGGGTTCTTCCTTGCCCATGGGTGCTGCCTTATCACCAGGCTCCCAACCACGCTGTCCTAGGAGAGGTAAGAGCCAGAGCCGCATCCCGGACTGTCTGCCTTCATAGCGAAGCCCTTTTGCAAAGCCTTGGGTGCACCTGGCCACTGCAGTTAGTGCAGGCCTTTCTTTTTAATCAAGGTATTTGCTTTTAGGTCAAGAAAATTTAAAATAACAGTACGCTTGGAGCTCTTTAGCTAACAAAATTTGGGAAAGCCAGTTAACAACCTCATCCTGAAATCATTGGTTTGCAAATCATGCTGCTGTCTTTGTAGCAATATTTCTTTGACAGGCATTGCTTAAGATTTCATTAGCACAGTTGTGCTGCTCTGGGCCGGTCTAAGGGCATGAAGTCATTGCTTTGAATTTCTAAACAAACAGATTTGCAGAGTTTTCCAAGAGCAGTGCAGGACAGGTGTATGGGTGAGCTGCTACCCTAAAAAAGTGTGGAAAATCGTTCAGAAGGTAACTCCACAGAAGTAAGAATGAATCAAAGACTTATTGGCTGTCACTTATGTAGAAAGTTATGGTTGCTCTGTAAGTAAAAAGATTTTGACTAATAGTAATGGATAAAATGTAAAGGTTTTCTGATTAAGATACCTATACAATCTGGTTCTATTTGTGCCTGACTTACTTACAAACATTTTATATTTTGTTTAATAGAAGCAGGTTTCTTTTGAACTCCAGCCTCCTCCTGTCTCTTTGGAATTTACTTCAATTGACTTGCATCAAATGACAGGGGTTTTCCAGATACCCCCTTGGGACTATTTCCCTGGTCCTGCTCTCCTCTGCAGACTTGCCTCCTAGTGATATTTAAGATGTAATTGCACTGTTGTTGAATGTTGAACAGCCATGCTTTCGAAACTACTGCTGTTCCTATCACTGCAGATGTGTGGGATTTTTAATGTATGGCTTCCTCAGACGATAAAGAAGTGAGATCAGTCGCCATAAACAAAGACCTGAAGGTATCAATTTTGTCTTTTTGTTTTCAGAGGGTCCATATGGAATATTTGCTGGCAGAGATGCCTCCAGGGGACTAGCAACTTTCTGTCTAGATAAAGATGCACTCAGAGATGAATATGATGACCTATCGGACTTAAATGCTGTACAGATGGAAAGTGTTAGAGAGTGGGAAATGCAATTTAAAGGTAACTTCTTAAATTAGCGGATCATCTGTAGTTTAAGGAAATACTGTTCACAAAAATGACCAATTTGGGTTTGGGGCTTCTTTTAATAGAACATTAACTTTGCTGTGCAATAACTTTAGGAAAAAGCCTGAGATTTGAGACCTTTCTTCTTTGGAAAGGATTTCATTATACTTCACTGTGGCTTTTCCATTCTTTCCATGCTCTTCTCAGCCATTTCAGTGCCAATTCCCTACGGCATCTCAGTGTAGTTTAGTCTCTGGAATTCCTGCTCAGCAGTGGTTGGCTTTGGATTCCACTGAAGTAAATTAGGACTCAGAGTTGTTTTGGTGTTAGGTGCTGAACGGGTTCCTCTTGAAGTCATGCCTGGCAGGCACCAAAGTGCCTCTGGAGGGAGGGGGAAAGCTTTTAATTGAAACCAAAACAGGTGAGGGAATTGGTGCTGGGTTTATTAGGAGACGTTTCAGCCTTTGGGTAATAAAGCTTCACTGACTAGCTGTGGGAGAGCTGAAGCAAAGTGGAGAGAGTAGACAAGGTAGTGAGCAGAATGAGGTAGTGAGGGTTGATTTAGGAGGCTGAGCTTGCTGAAAAAAGTTGCCACTGATTTCAGTGATTCAGAGCCGTGGTGTGTAGTGAAAGGGCGATTCTCAGCAGTGCAGACTAACTAGCAAATGCAGCTCTATTTGATTGTAATGGAATCGTAAAATCTCTTTCAGAAAAATACGACTACGTAGGTAGACTCCTAAAGCCAGGGGAAGAACCATCAGAATATACAGATGAGGAAGATACCAAGGATCACACTAAACAGGAATGAACTTTGTAAACAACCAAAGTCAGGGGCCTTCGGAACTGCAACCTCTTATTCCCCATCACAGAATGTCCTGCATCTTTGGGTACAGTTCATCTGCTGCGAAAAACATTCAACAGGTTTTGTACAAGAAAATAACATACTCACAAGTGAAGATTTGAATACTAGACATTATTTGTGCTGCCAAACTTTTTTTTGCAGTTTATTTGTAATGTCTGGTAAGGCTTCATTGAAGAAGAGGGGCCAGGGCTTAAAGGCAAAAACGCTATTCCTTTTTATCAGTAACCTGAAGCCTTCAAATAGCATAAACTAAAAGCTCTCTGAAGACATGAGCCTTCCAGCTCAATGAAAGATTTGAATCTGTTTTCATGGGTGTCTTCTCCTTCAGCAGTAAAGAAAGATGTGCTCGCGTGCATCAATATCAGTAGGTTGGGCTACTGAAACTGATGTTAAAATGTGAATTTCTAATATTGTTTTGTATGTGGGCCTTACTAGCCCTATCAGAATACTTCAGTTCTCCAAGAGAGGTCCACGTAGATTAGGATGGGGTTAAAATCCTTTTCTCAAAAGGATTGGATAAAAACATTTTCTCTGCGACAACTATTGTCTGAAGCCTGCCTCCTGCCCCTGCCCCCTCCCGTCCTCTAAATCAAATCAAATATTAATTGTGCCTTATTTCACTTGCATAGACTTGAATTGTTTTAAGGGAAAGCCCCCAAAATGCGGCTTCGCAGTCACTACAAGCAGCATTGAGACTGAAGCTAGAATGTTCTGTTGACTGGAAAACCTTGATATCATTCTGTGTATAGAATGTAAAAGAGGAATACTCAGTGTTACTGCCATATGTTAATACTACATATACTTAAATTAGCATTGTGATGGCCAAACACATACTCCCATGCTTCTTTTTAAGTAATAAAAAAGAAAAAAAAAACAATAAAAAGGTCACCCTTCCTCCTCTTCCAGAAGCTGCCTAACTTTTGGGAGCACCGCCTCCACAGCCCTGTAGAGCGAAGGGGTGTTCGTGTGTGGGTATGTGTGCGTGTCTGTCTGAATGCAAGACTTGGGAGGGATTGTTTCTGCAGATATTGTAAATATGAATACCATTTTAATAAAGCATGTACAATACCAAATGTGCTGTCAGACTTTATCTAGAAGCTGTTGAGCAGACCTAGAGTATCATGGAATGCTAGGTAAAGGAAAAAAAAATTGGATATGAAACGCCCACTGGTTTTTATACACAACTCTCCTCTTAGTGTTTCCTTGAAGTCCCACCTTTTAAGGAACTTTGAAGACATGCTCAGGTAAGCTCTCATTAAAAGAATAAACCTATGCCAGTGTATTTATGGTGAAAAAAATAGAGTGATTGTACCTATGGCAGAAGCTTTTTAGGAGATGATGTAAAGTACAGTAAAAGGAATTTGTGCTGTGTTATCTATGATATTGGAAGTAGTTATTAGGTATTACGTTGCTTAATACTAACTGCATAAGAACTTTGTTCTACAGTCTCTGGCAGTGTGCTGCAGAATTGCAGTCTAAGATAATGACTGCTTTTAACTCTTTTTGATCAGTAGGGGTCTTTTCTTTTAAATGCCAGGCCAGCTGAGTGGGAAGGTAAGAGTGAAGAATATTGGCAGAGTTTGTCTGATTGGATATTAAATTCAAATTTCCATTCTTGTGAAAGTACTTATCCCCCTTCATAGATACTAGAAATATGAAATGTGAAATTTCCAAATGTGCAAACGCAACTGCCCCAGTTAAAATAACAGGGTCTTATTTGAGAGCTACAAGCAATCTGTGTGGCCTTTTTTGTTTTCTTTTAAAATGGGTTCTGTAGATGGATTTTGACTTCTGTAAGATATTTTGATAGCTTTGCTTTTTTTTTTAAAAAAAAGGCTGTTAGGTCTGTAGGGCCATGAGCATATAATAACATTCCTCTTAAAATACATCTGTTGACACAAGAACATCATAGATATATATATATGTCACTAACACTGTAGAAATGTCAGTGCCTAAGTACATGACTCTACCATGAAGTTCCTGGCTTACAGCTTTATGGTTATATTTGTACCTCTGTTTGCAGGTTTCACCTGTGATAAGTCCACAGTAACAGATTTTGGAACATACTTTTGAACTGTAAAATTCCAGGAACCACTTCCTTTTTATTTCTATTTGACTGACACAGCTTTACATCCATACATATGAAACACTTCAAATAATATTCTGAGTGACCTGTGGATCCCCTGCCCTGCCTGTCTGAGCTGGAGCGGAGCTGCTCAAGCAGCAGGAGCAGCCGGCCGGGAGCCCCTTCGGCAGGAGCTCCTTGCATTGGCAGCGTCTTCCAGAGTGAGCAGTGCCGTTAGGCACGGCCGGGGCTCGTGGCTTCCTTGCCGCCGGGACAGCACTCGTTCCCTCTGAGGCCACGTCCTTCTTAACTGAGTGCTGCCTCAGTGCCCGCACTTCTTCCTGCGCCTCAGTACTGCAATAAGCCCTGGCCAGGAATAGTGGGCATGGCAGCAAAACTGAAGCACAAAGAAGATGGTGTCTTAGATGGGACAGCAAGAGGGACCCTGAGCTACTGAGCAGCTCTCCTACAGGGGCAGGAGCTAGCAGTGCCTAGGCACTACCTCTGTACTTGCACGTTTCACTGGGGCTTTCGTTTTGACAACAACTTTACAAGTTGCTTAAAGGCACCTTTCATTTTTAGCTTTTGATCCAGTTCATCGGGGCCCCAAGATGGGTGCAGCTGTGAGGCAGGAAAAGACGGCTTATGTACCAATCAAATAAGACATCCAGAGAAGTGTGGGTTTTTTTTTCCCCCCACCTTTCCACCTAAATATATATACATATTTTATATATTTACACACACACAGTTGTGCTCCTAGCGCAGCTGTGCCTGGCACAGGGGTGGGTTTAGCTGTGTGTCTTGCTTCTGTCTCTTCTGTGTAGAAATTTCCTACCCAAGAAAGAAGAGTTTTGCATTCCCTAGCACCCGTTAGTCTAGGGGTTGCTTCTTCCTCTCCCTTGCTGTGAACAATACAGCCAGTTCAATCACAAGTTGTGTAGATTTTTGGTGGATTTTTTGTACTTTTTTTAAAAAAAAAGCAATGCTGAAATATTTATCTTTACCATTTAAGAGGAGTAGAGCATAAAAGCGATCAAAGATGGGTAAAGGTTGATTTTTGCTTTAAAGCAACAGTTAATGGTAACTGTGAAGAATACTGAAGAAAATAAAACTGAGTAGTAGTATGTTGCAAAGTTCATCTTGTTCATCTACTTACCATCTCACCAATGATTTAAGAGATGGCAATCTAAAACACCCTTTAAAGCACAATGGATGTTTCTTTTTATAAAAAGTGAACCCAAATAATATGGAATACCATGAGACTCATGCATACTTCAGTGCAAGGAATAGAATCAATGGATTAATCTGAAAAGACTCATCCTTTTAACACTTCTGTCAGTCACTTTGTCAAAAATCAGTATTAAATATAATTAAAATGACAGGCTTATACTGACAAAGTGTTAAAATTGATCTTTTATGAACACACTTTGCTCAACCAACACACAGGACTTGGGAGTATTTCTCATCTGCATTAGAAGCAGTAAGATGTATTTCCAGTTTCATATACTACATGTTCTCTAGAGCCAGACTCTGTGAGATCAGCTAAGAGTAGCTACTTGTTTTAACACTTCTGCCTAATTTGAATATTGCTTCCAAAAAGGTTTATGGCAGAAAACCTGGTTTTAATCCTTCATTAGAGAAAAAAACAAAAAACAAAAAAAACCCACTGCTTTAATCTGACCCTACTGAATATCTACTAAGGATTACAGACCTTCCCCTGCTTGCGGGTGTACGTATCCTTTCAGCAAGGTACGTCCACTTTCCTTGGTTAAGATTTGCATCTGACACAGCACATAACAGCAGTTGTTTCTTGGTGCTTGTGTCTTGTTTCATTTTTAAATAGCTTTTCTTAGTATTTTCTCCTCCTGCCCCCCAAAAAAGTCCTTTTGATTGCAGTATCCTCACTGAAAAGGTCCAGAAGGTCAAAGCTTTTTTATGGTTAGTGCTTGAGTCTCATCTTCTCACCGCTTAGAGTTTTTTTTTTTCCAGGAAATAGATGCATTATGAAATGCCAAGAACTAGTGCTTTGAATATAATGGTCTTCCTGGCTCTGTTTTGTTAGGGAAAATTCTTTTCACTTTTTCAAAAAGGTGTGGCTCACAGTCTAAACCTACAACAAAGTACTAAAGTGTTTCTGACTTCAGCTCACACTCTATTTGTGCAGAAGTCCTGTGGCCTTACCTTTCTCCAGGCACTATTAGATCTCTCTGGTTGTAGTGTTATAGATGAGGTGTGTGGGCAGGGGACAGCGAAGTCACCATCCCTGTCATTTTCAGACATGAAACATAACGCCCTAGTAATAATGGAACTCAGCCCTTAAAGGCTTATTTAAATATGGAAACCAAATAATTAATGCATAAATATTCCTAGCAAATCCTTCCACTCACTTCTAATTTATGGTTTAAGGTGAATGTTTACTAATAGGTGTTTACAGATTGGTTTTAAAAGTTGCCATGTTAGTTCAAGGTTAGTTCACATATAGGTAAGGTTTGTTTGTCTGAAAAGCTATAAACAAAACCACCAAAACAACAAACAGCACAGTCCAGAAAAGCAGCACGAAGGAAGCCCTGCATGTGCCTGCCTGCTCCTTTCCCTTTTGAAATCTTGTACATTTGTGTATTTTTCTGTAACAGAAGGCAGCAATGTTTTACTGACTTGACACATTTTCAAGGTAGCTGGGCAAAATTTATCATGCAAGCAGCTAAGACCAAAGCCCTTGGGAGGGCTAAAGGTCTGGGGGCAAGTCGGCGTCTGTCACGCTTGACCACCAGCCCTCAATTACCGTTGGAATCAAAATTCATTTCTCTTGACTGACCGTGGCACCAAATTCAAAAACCCAGAAGTGAAATCACTGTTCTCTGGTTTTAGGTGTTTGAAGGCATAATGCCTTCCCCCTCACCCCCCTACCTTTTTCTTTAAATAAAGGGAATAAACAAAGCAAAACACCACTCCCCATCATCAGCTTGGACAGTGCAAACCCAAGATGTTCCCTTCAAAGTGGTAACAGGGCTAGGATGCTTAGATTTCTTTTAAGGTGTTAATGGCAGTGCTATTTAACCCGCCCTCTGAAGTTTCTTATTACTTAGGTCATATAGCAATAAGAAGAACAACCCAGGACAATTTCGAGGGATGCCAAAGGGCTGAAGCTTGCTAAATATTTAGTGATAGACTACTCTTAAGAGTGGTGGTACTCTTAAGGGCAACAAAATGAAGGTTGGATTAACAGGACATAAAAGACACCAGAAAGGCTGCTGGAACTTCAATGCACCTTCAAATCAAAGGCAAGAGGTAGGCCAGACCCTGGGAGGGGTGTAGCCGCTTGGAGCTGTGGGCTGAAACCAGCCCATTGCTCAGCAAAACCTCTTTATTTTATTCTAAAATTGCATGTTCTCCTTCTCAGCTCAGTAGCGAAGAGCAGCAAATAACGGTGCCCTCAACCGCCTGCAAGGGCAGCCGGGGGGAGCAGCACCTGGCCCTGGGGAAGCTGCAGGGGATCCTCCTACGCTAGAGAGACAGCAGGAAAGGTATTCACTGCCTTTTGCCTACAGCCACATTCATTTGTAGGTTTTGCTTTGAAAATTACAGTCCCCTGTGAAAATCAGTATCCAGCAGAAAGCTGCCCCCCAAGCCAAGAACCCACCGCAGCCTTCCAAGCGCCAGCTGCCCGAGGTGCCCAGGGAGCAGGAGTTGCGCGCGGCTCCGACCCGCTATTCCTCTTCACACAGCAAAGGAATTAAGTTCATAACAGAACACTTAGGGTTTGTTTTTGTATTTTTATAAAATTTGTAAAGATATCACAAAATTTCACACACATAAAGCTAAATATGCACGTTTCATTGAAAAAGTGAAAGGAAATATTTTAGATCTATTACTTGTATATACAATTTCAATCCAAATTTACACTTGCATCATGGATAGTAAGAGCATGGATCAAATACAGAATTGAGATGCATGACTTCAGCACCTTTAAAAGATGCTACTTAAAGCATTTGAAGCATTTGTGTGTGT